TGAAGTCCGGGCCCAATTCAAGGTGTTGGTGATGACCTATAAAGCCCTGAACAGCTTGGGTCCTGGTTACCTGAAGGAGCGCTTACGTCCATATATGCCCTGCTGCCTCCTGAGATCAGCGGGAGAGGCCCTTCTCCGGGAACCCCCCGTGAAAGAAATTAGGAGGGTGGGTACTCAGAGGAGGGCTTTCTCTGCGGTGGCGCCTAAGTTATGGAATGAGCTCCCCAGAGAGGTCCGCCTGGCGCCGTCGTTATTTGTTTTTCGGCACCAGGCGAAGACCTTTTTATTTAAGCGGCATTTTAACTGTTAGTATTACTAGATTTTATCTGGCCAGGGCGGCTTATTTTATATTGTATTTTTGTATTTTTAATTTATGTTTATATTTATTGTAATTTCATATTATAATTATTTTTAATTTATTGCTGTAAGCCGCCCCGAGGCTTCGGCGAATGGGGCGGCATAAAAATATTTTAATAAATAAATAAATAAATAAATAAATAAATAAATAAATATCGTCAAGGCTTGCGCCTCCAAAACCTCCCTTTTGAGTGCCATCCACCCCTCCTCAACTCGCTTACCTTCCAGTAACCTATCCCAGAAGACTTTCCCCAGTCTGGCCTTCAGTTGGCCAAAGTTGGCCCTCTTGAAGTCCCAGCTTCTTGTGCTCGACCTGCTGCAAGTCCCCAGTCCCCTGATCTCAAAGCAAAGGATGGAGTGATCACTCACATCCAGAGCTCCCCTAATTGCTGTTGGTCAAGACCAAGTCAAGGATGTTCCCCCCCCTTCGTCGCCTCTCGGACCCTCTGTGTGAAAAACCCTCCCTCTATAGCTTCTAGGAAGCGACGTGACTTGGCTGTCACCGCCGAGTGTGTCTCCCAAGTAATATCCGGGAGATTGAAATCTCCCATAATTACTGTGTCTCTCCCCTGAGATATCCTTAGAATCTGGCCTGTCAGGACATCATCCAGGGTCTCAAGTTGACCTGGAGGGCGCCGTTAAGGTTCTTTTGATTGCCGTTAAGGTTGTGCTAAAGCCCAGCACAAGAACAGCTAAAAGGACCTATCAGCTTTGGAGATGGTCAAGCAGGTGGACAGATGGTAATGTTCATTTTTAGGAAAAGGGATGGAGTGCGTTGTGGCACAGCATGAGCATCGGGGGTTGTGGAAATATGTTTATCTGCAGAGCATCAGGCCTTCTGAGAGAACTTCTGCTTGGCCAACACCCTTTCCTGCTCACATCATTATTCCCCGGGAAGCTGCCAAGCCCATTTGATGGTTGTCATCATGCTGTGCTATTAGGCCTCTGCAACCCCAGATCACGGGAAACTGAGGCAGAGTGAAATCCAGGCAGATCAGGATCTTAAGTCAATCCAAGGTAAAATGAGTGTGTTCACCAAAGATTGGATGAAAGTCATCAGGAACATCCAAATTTGCTTGTTCATTGGCCTCTTTTGCCTTCTAGCTTGGTTTGGTCTTTCCAGACTGGTGAGATTGAAGTAGGGACCTTATGCTTGCAAAGCAAAGAGCTGAACAAGGGTCCCTCCTCAAGACCGGCAGTGGGGAACCTGTGGTCCTCCAGGGCTTGTTGAGCTTCCAGCATTCTGGCCAGGAATGATGGGACCTTTGTCCAGTGATCTCTAGACAGTCACAGGTTCCTTGCCCTGCTGTAGAAGTAGTTGAGCTCTGCAGTCTCTTGGAAAGGGCTCTGAAGACTCCTTCCCAGCTAGGAAGCAGGAGCTGACATTGAACAGAAAAGACCAAATGGAAGCAAGGGAATGCAGTGGGCTGGGCATGGCAGGGAAGCGGGGGGAGATCAGTGCTGTACATAGCCATTGAGGAAGTTGTTATTAAGGTTGCCAGACTGCAACCGAACAACTAACTTTTTGAGAAGGCACGCAGAGTTGCAAAATAGCAACATTACTTATTTACTGGCATGAATCAACTGCATGCATCATTTGAATCCTCCGAGAGAGGCTCAGGTGGCAGAAGGAAGAAAAGGACCTTCTTACTGGCGGTCCCCCAATTATGGAGTGCCCTCTCTATTGAGGCCTGCCTGGTGCCAGTGCTGTCATCATTTTGGTGCCTAGTTAAGACTTCTCTCTCCACCCAGGAGTTTGAGTAGGTATTTGAAGCCATAGAGTAATGTTTTTTAAAGTGTCCTGAGATTTACTGCTGATTGTTTTAAATTGTTATATTTGTATATATTGGCTTTATATGTTGTTATTATGTTGTATTTTTAGGATGCTAAGGCTTGTAAACCACTCAGCGAGCTTTGGCTGTTGGGCAGTATAGAAAAGCAAGAAATGAAAGGCAGACAGAGGAATGAAAGGCATCTGCAGCAGAGGTTGCCTTTGTGAAAAGTTGTGCACAGTCGGAGCATTGACTGCCAACATGTCTCCCAACCCTTTCCTCCCCGTCCGCCAGCCCTCCCCATTTGCTGGAGGTGAAACCGAGCTCTGGCTGGCTGGCTTGCCTCAGCAGATGGAGAAGGGCAATGAATGGCGGCCCGTCTCCTGCCAACTCTGTCTGCTCAAGAGACAACAGGATGTGGGAATGGATAGTAGGAATGCTGCCAGAGTCCAAAGCAGGCTCTTACCCCACTGAAACCGCTTGAGCCAGGGCAAGATGAGGCTTGGAGGATGTGAGCAACAGCTGAAAACTGCAGGCACGGGCTGCAGTGGACGCCTCAGGTGGCTAACCTCTGTGCCTCGCAGAGTCCTGGGACGTGAGGGCTTGGGTGACTATTGCCTTCTTAGAGAAGGAGTCAGACCTCTGCTTCTTGTGTCTACCAACTGTAACTAGCAAGAGCAGGACTGCCCGAGATCCCTGTCATCCTTTCCCTTGTCGTCTGAGTCATGCCTCAAAGTAGGTCGCTGAGATTGCGCGGGGTATAATCGAGGGTAAGGTTTGGCGTGTGCGGCAGCCTTTGGAGACGTCTTCTAAAGACATTCCAAAGTGAAGATGTAGTGGTCAAAAGCATGCCTGTGGGCAGTGTGCTACACCGAGGAGGCCATACCAGAACCTCCATCACATGGAGGCAATTAGGACTTTCAGAGTCATCTAGCCCTTGGAGCAGAGAGGGAGGGGCTTGTACAAGCTTTTCAGAGTGTGACCTGATCATAAAATCCATCAGTTTTTATTGCTTTTGTAAAATACATCTTTATTACTGAGGTTTTAATGAATTGTATTCATGCAGGAATTTACAGTCATGGTATTAGCCCTCCTCCTCCTCCTCCTCCTCCTCCTCCTCTATTTCGGTACTGCCCATAGCTGAAGCTCTCTGGCTGGTTTACAACAAAGTATAAAAACAGTAAATAAAATATAATAGATAAAAACACTAATACAGTGTTACCTAACATGCACTTGTTTTGCTCTAGGCTTTCTTCTTCTTCTGCACATATGTGTGAGACTGTATCTCACATTTCTCTCACTTGTTTCCTTGATGTCCGTTGGCCTTTCCAGTAGTGATATGTTGTTTGTTTCACAGCATTGTACATTGCTTTAAGTCAGTGGTTTACCGACCTTTTTGGGTCAGTGGGCACATTTGGGGTTTTGGAGAGTGTCGTGGCTGTGCTCATGAAATGGTTTCCACAGGGGAGGGCTGGTCCCAAAACACTCACTTTTCAGAAGCAAATTGCTGAGGTTAAAACTCAGCCAAGTACAAGAAAGAGATGAGGTCTGTATTTTAACATGCAAACCCACTTTTTTCAACCCAAGTAAAGGACTAGAGAAGAGCATATTGCTTTGTAGCATGGCAGTTTCAAAATATTTTTTAAAGTTAAGAAATATCATTGAAATTACGAGGAGCAAGGAGTCTGGACTGGGCACCAAAAGATTTGCCCATGGACAAATGTATACCCAGAGCCGCTGGCATTGAACAGTTGTCCTATGTCACCTTGAAACTGGGGCATTTTCTAGGAGATACAATCCTTTAAATGGGTTGGATAGCCCTAAATGGCTTGGTACCTGGGTACCTGAAGGAGCGCCTCCATCCATACTTGCCCTCCTGCCCTCTAAGATCGGCGGCAGAGGCCCTTCTCCGGGAACCCTCCGTGAAGGAAATTAGGTGGGTGAGTACCCAGAGGAGGGCCTTCTCTGCGGTGGCTCCCCATCTGTGGAATGCGCTCCCCAGAAGGTCTGCCTGGCGCCATCATTATTTGCTTTTCGGCACCAGGCCAAGATCTTTTTATTTAAATGTTATTTTAATTGATTGTTAAATTATTTATTGCTTTAATCTAACTCCGGGATGTTTCCAATTCTGTATATTTTTGTATATTGTTATGTATTTCTTGGAAGCTGCCCCGAGGCTTATGCGAATGGGGCGGCATACAAGCACTCCAAATAAATATAAATAAAATGTTCCCTTGACGTGATTTTCAGGAGGGGTTGGGGGAACCCCAAGATTCACATAAATCAGGAGCATCTTAAGCAAGCATCTAAAGCAAGATTCACAGGAATACATGCTAGCAAGTGTCGTGCTTCATTTTTGTCATTATTGCTAATCATTCTCTTTGTTTCTGGCCTGCTTTTCTATCACAAGAGACCCAAACCAGCTTATTGGATTAAAAAACAGAACACTAAGGGAATGATTGTACGGATGCTTGGGGAGAAATAGGTCCTGCTGGGGCATGCTGAGAGTTGTAGGACTCATTTCTCTCTAAGCCGCTATACAATTGTACCCCAAATGAATGCACTATGAGCCCTATACCAAATTGCGAAAATATGGAAGCGGGTGGCTGGCAGGCATGGAAAAGATTGTTCAGAGATGGAAAGCCTGAATCTGAGTGATTTGCACTGTGAAATGAGGTTGCACATTCCCCTGATTACATGCAGATGGAATATTGAGTGGTAGCACTGCAAAGCCATTTGCTTTTGGGTCGCGTGCAAGAAGGAAAAGAACTTGTTTTTAGAAGGACGCGATCCGTGTAGCTGTCCCTCATGGCTCATCCTGTGCCTTGTTTTCTCTCCCTTCCTCCCCAATCCCCCAAAAATCTTTTCTAGGGAGGATTTTGGATTTGAAGACAGGCACGGTAAAGAAGGAGGGCCAGCAGTCGTCAGTGAGAATGTGCATGGGGTCGAGGCGCTCGTTCATCTGCAGAATGAGGTATTCCATTTGATACAACCGGGGGGGGGGGGGTTACCTGTTTTGTAACACGGCTATTGCCAGAGGTCCGGATCCAGGGCTCTGGTGCGCCTCCCTCTGGAGCAAGCCTTGAGGGGCATGCGCTTCTGCAGGAGGAAGGGGAGTTGGCGCCAATTGTCCCCTCTTCATGTTCGGCTGGCAGAAAAGAACCACTGGGTCAAAACCACACCCAGCAAGCCGTCTCGGATACTGGCCACAATATTATTATTATTATTATTATTATTATTATTATTATTATTATTATTATAACATTTCTATGCCGCCCCCAATATGCGGCCCACAGTCATTGCGTGGCCGTATCCTTCATGATACGTCTGCAGGATTCCTGCACGTGTTCTGCACAAGCAACTGTTCTTCACTTCCCCGTCTTACCACACTGATATTGCCCGCTTGCTGACAGAGGCTGCTGGGACAGAATTGAACTGATAGCTGCTGCAGAGGCATCTGCCCGTTGCCCTGTGCAAGCTCAGCACTGGACCGTGGCTGGCTGTGTTCACCTTTGTCAGTAGGCCAGGCATGCAAGCAAGCCTGCCCATGGTTTAGCTTGCAGAGCTATGCCTTGTCCCAGAAGCCACACAGAGAGGCGGTGCCAGTAAGTTAAGACAATAATGAGGTAAATGGGCCAAAGGCTTGCTCTCTCTAAGGCAGCCTCCCTTGAGATTTTATGGCCCAGTTCATATATCACAGCTACCCAGGATTTGTGTACAAGCTAGAACAAGTGAACAAGCTGGTTCCTGGTTGGTCACGTGCTCCCAGAGAGCCAGCAACGCAGGGACACGTCTTTCTTGGTTGTCGTCTGCGATGTCTGAACCCAGAATTGTGGGTTGTTTGTGCTACAGGCCTGGATTGTCATGTAATGCTCTGCTCACTGAGGTCCTTCTAGTGTTGTTTTCCTTTCAGCACAAGGTTAAGGCTGTTTTCTCTGCAGAAGTATTTAATGGCATCTAAGGGCTTTTAATTGTATATAAGGGCTGTGGGCTCATGCCAGTTATGTTTTCTCTGAGAAAGTATTGCATTGAACTTTTTTAGTGGTTGTTGTATTGAAATATTACTCTGTTTTTATTACATGTGCATTTTGCGTTGTATTTTATTGTAGGATATGAATTGTTAATCACCTAGAGAGCTTCAGCTATTGGATGGTATAGAAGTGAGACTGATAATAATAACAATAATGCAACGATAACTTCTTTCCCAACAACCAAATTCCAAGTTCAGTCACCATGAGCAACAACCCGGGGTCAGGATGTTGCTTACGATAGGCGGAGAGCGCCAGCTGCCCGGTACTGCTTCCCTCTCCGCAACCCATGCTTTAACAAACGGTCGGTGGTTGCAATGTGTCAGCTACTGTCCCTGAGCTGCTTTTCAGTAGACCATGAAAAAGATGCCTCCCCATCTTCGCCTTCGCCCAGAGAAGCACTTACAAAGATGGGTGAACGCCAAACCGAAGTAGCCAGCTCTTCGGAAAACACTGTTGTGCTTGTTTTCATTTACTTCTCAATACATCTGCATTTTTTTGCAATTAATGGAAAAGTCAACAGCTCATATCCTTTCCATAGTCATGTTTACCAAATCTTAATCCCCCCCCCCCCCCCCGCTGCTCACTCAGGAAAAAAACATGCCTTGAGTCAACCACAGGAATGTGATCTATTGTGTCATCCTAATATGCAATTATTTAAATAGGTGCTTCTGCAACCAAACATTCCCCATTGGAGTGGCAGTGTGGCTGTGCTTCTGTTCCTCAGCTAACTAGCATTGTGTTATTATTTTAAAAGAAATGTAGAAGGAACAAGAAGAATTAATCACCCGGCTAATTTTAGGCACATGAGCAAATCTCAAGAACATCTTCATTTTTGCAATGATAAAACTTTTGAGGTGACTGTCTTTAAATATTTCATTTACTCAATCTTATCACATGGCAGGAATTAAGCTTCCCTCAAGCCTGTGGGTTGTGGTTCAACCATTTTTGACCTAAAATAAATTCTTCAGATTCTTTTATCATATGTTCCTTCTACCTCAAAAACTGTTTTGAATTTTAAGTACTGAGCAGTAGGTATATAGCTGATTTCTTGAGGTTTCTGAACTAGAGATGGATGAACCCTCTATTTCCAGATCACAGGAGTTCATCAGTCTCTCTGCCCCATTTCTGCGTCAATCTAAGCAATGTTCTAAAGTAGCACAGGAATTTCCATTATTTGAATGCGTTTTTATCAAATGCATTTTAATCCACAATACATATTTTTTACATTTTTGCTTCTGAGCTGAGAACTGTATCTCAAAGACTTGTTTGAAGCCATGTAGGAACCCAAGGACTGGTTGATAGAGAGCCAAATCCATTGCATGTTTCATCAAGGAAAGGGTCCTACAGCTCCCAGCATTCCTTAACTGGGGAATGCCAGCATTGGTAGGACTTTTTTCTGTCAAAGCATGTATAAGATTGTGCCTTGATTTACTTAAAGTATTTTTACCCTCTCTTCAGCCAAAGTCTGCTTGCAGAGTGGCTTACAAAGTTTAATAATAAGGTGATCCTTGCCTCAGACTCGCAACCTGCAAAATATGACACAGAGGGAAAAGGAGTAGGACAGAGGAGGGAAAAAGCAAAGCCAGGCAATAAATCTTGTTTGTGAAGCGCTTACTGTGCTCTTTCTGACAGGAAAGGGCAAAGCAGGTTCCTGCAGCTGCTGCTTCTCTAGCCAGTGAGTAGGGCCAGGTGGTCTTTCCTTTGACTTGATGTCTCCTTCTGGAGGGTGGTGGGATCTCTGCCTCCACGGCAGACAAGCACCCATCAGCTCTGCAGGCCCTGTGCAACCGTCAGTTGGAGCTAGAGATGGATGCACTAGTCTATTTCTGGTCTGTTTGGATTTATCTATTGCACTGATATCCCACCTTGTTCACCTGACAGGATGGCTTACATGCCCCGCCCCCTCTGCATTTTATCCTCACAAAAACCCTGCAAGGTAGGTGAGGCTGAGAGTCAGTGACTGTCCCAACGTCTCCCAGTGCGCTTCACAGCCAAGTAGGGATTAGAACACAGATCTCCTGAATCCCGGTCCAGCTCTCGGCTCATTCGCTGGTTCACAGTGAATGCATTTCTTCAGCTGGAATCTGTACTGGGACATGTGGAGAAATGCACAAGAACAATTCCACTCCCATGCACTTAAATCCATTTATGGATGGATTGGGCCAATATGGCGTTCGGCTCCAGCCCTCTGCTCAGTGCGGCACTCCAAGCGAAAGTATCCCCGGCTGTTGGCAGTCCAGGCGCATCTTGAATGACTCCACTGTGGGAGAGACGTGACTTTCCTCGGTAATGAACCCCATTGTTGCATTGCTCCAGCAGCTGGGAAGTTCAGCTGGAAACTGCCTTTATGCAATTTGAGCCCGGAGGTTTGTGTCCTGCACTCAGGCATGATTGGGAAGATCGCCCGACTCTCCTGTGCTTGACAGCCTTGGAGATCACTCTCACATCTCCCCGAGCCTTCTCTTCTCAAGGCTAAACATGCCTAACTCTTTCATGGGGCTCTGTTTCCAGTCCCTGGATCATCTGTGTTGTCCTCCCCTGAATCCTTTCCAGTTTGTCTGCATCTTTCTTCAAGTGTGCTGCCCAGAATTGGATGTAGTACTCAAAATGAGGTAGAACTAGTGCTGGGTAGAAGGGAACTGGTACTTCACATGATTTGGAAGCAATACTTCTGTCAATGCAGCCCAAAATAGCATTTGCCTTTTTTTCCAACGACTTCATATTGTTGACTCACATTCAGCTTGTGATCTACAACAATTCCAAGTTCCTCCTCACTTGAAGTATTGTTCAGCCAAGTATTCCCCACTGTGTAACAATGCATTGAGTTTCTTTTTCCTAGGTGCGGAACTTGGCATTTCTCCCTGTTGAATTTCATTCTGTTGTTTTCAGCCCAGCGCTCCAACCTATCAAGATCACCTTGAATCTTCTTTCTGTCTTCCAGGGTATTAGCATTCTTAACTTTGTGTCACCTGCAAATTGATCAGCATTCCCTGCACCTCCCAATCCATATCCTTAATAAAAATGTTGAAGAGCCTAGAGCTCAGGGCTGAGCCCAGTGCCACTTTCCCCAGTTTAAGAATGTGCCATTCACATGAACACTTGAAAACCTACTCTGAGACAAATTCATGGGCTGCAAGGCTATCAACGGCTGCCTGGCCTGATGGCTCAATACCCTCCAATCTCAGAGGCAGGTCACCTGTATACCCCAGTTGCTGGGAAATGGGCAAGAGGTATTGCTCCATTCCTGACATGCTCAAGGGTTTTCCACAGGTGGCTGGTTGGCCACTGGGTGCACTAGATGGACCCTTGGTGCATCCAGCAGGGAATGTCTTGGATTCTTAATATCCAGCCACCTGCTGACATAAGATGATCAGATGAGAGAACCTTTGCATATTGAAAGTCTGTTTTCATTGAGCTTACCACAAATGACTAATGTAGCATAGGGATCATAAAAGCAAATAAAAATAAAAACTGGGCTAGTAACTCTGCTGCAAGGCTGCTATTGATAACTCAATATGTTTGTCCTTTCTTTGTTTCAAGAATAACAGTTTCATGGGGTGCAGGGTGGGGCTTCTGCCTTTCCTTAATCCGAACAACTAGAACATCTCAGAAAAAAAGGTCAGGTGGTAAAAGTGTCAAAGGAAATAGGTTGCCATTCCCCATCCAAGTAATATTTTAAAAATTATCTGAACATAAGCTGCACCATTCAAGCTCCTCCCTCCCCTCCCTCTCTCTCTCAGTCAAGTATTGTTACTGAATTTGTTCATATGCTGATTCGATTCTAGGTGTGGAAATGCCCCACTGGATCACTTACCTCTCAACAGAATAACTACCATGAGAAAAAGGTACAGGTAGGTGATCTGTCTGGTTATCCATTGCATTCAACCCGTACCTAAGAGCCTTGAGAGGTGTTACCCTTTCCTAATATTATCTATTTATTTAAAGTATTTGAAATAATATTTTTCTGTCCCACTTCTCAGCCAGAAAGGCTTCGAGAGTGGCTTACGTGCAGCCAGTGGATACGTGCAGTTACGTGTCCACTGGATACGGCCCTGTGAAAAAGGAATGGAGAAGAAAGGGGGGAAATAGGCACGGATTCAGCAAGGCTGCTTCCCTTCTGTCTCTCTCTCTCTCTCTCTTTTTTTTAGTGTTGTGGGCTGGCTGCCGATAGGAACCCTTGCACAGCCCTCCTGGGGGGTCTTTTGGCAGTGGTGGTGGATTGGGCCTGCTTCTCCTCTGACCTCCCCTGTAACAGCCATGCTAGGCCTTCTGGAGTGATGTGACTCCAGATAAGGCTTCAATGGCTTGGAAGGGTCAGTTCACTTTCCTGTTGGTGCCCGAGAGCATGTTAATACTTGACATCTGGAAAATAAGGAATCTGGCACTTGTGCTGATAAATTCTTTAATGGAGGGATTTAATTAAAAAAGGGCAGCATTTGGCTGAGCTGCGTTCTGGCTACGCCATTGTTATTAGTATTGTCTGTGCATGTTGGTGCCTTTCGGTTACAGAAGGTTATCAGAAAGTTCAACATTAGAGCTCTTTGTTCTGTTGTTGCTCTGTTTATTGTTAATTTTCTTTTGTCCCAACCTAGCGCTTGCCAGCCAGCGCATCCTAGAGGCAAGGATCGCTTTGCTCATGTTGACCTCCATAAGGACCCTTGCTGGAAAGGACATTCTAGTCCAGCTTTCTGGCAAAAGAGACATACCCAGGAAACTTATCATACCACTCTGCCACTAACACTGCACAGCAGTTGGCACTACACCAACATCCATAGATTGTCAAGCTCCTTTCCTCTTACTGATGGGACCGGATTTTGAGCAAATTCTGTAATACACATTAGTGCAATTTTACACGTCTGAGAATGAACAAATCTGCCCATAATGACCACCCCCATGCATACTTTTCATACTGTAGGCTATGGAAGAAATATGCATTTTTGGCCAGTTTTTTAAAATGTTATTTTTCTGCAACAAAACTTCTGTAAAATTACATAAAGGAACTGGCTGAAAAATATACACAGCAGCCCAGAGAGCCTCAGTTCTTGGGTGGTATAAAAATTAAACAAACCAACAAATTAATAAGTTGTTGTTGCTGTTGTCATTGTTGCTGTTGTTGCATTTATATCCTGCCATCTTTCCCCTTGTGAGGAGACCAAGGTGGCTTACATAACTCCATTGTTTTATCTTTGCAATGACAACCCTCTGCAGTAGGTTAGTTTGAGAGTAAGTTACTGGCCTATTTTCATGGGGAGTTTCATGACCAAGTGGGAACTAAAACCTGGGTTCCAGGTCACTAATAGACAGCCGCCATTATGGTCACCATATCCTCCATTAAATTGTCTGAGCCTCTTTTAAAGCCATGCAGGTTGGGGGAACAGCAGAACCTCTGAGGAGACATATACAAGTTTGCACCATAAATAACACAGAAATGAAGGCAGTACTGGGCCCAGATAAGAACAACAACCATTTTATATTAATTAGTAATAACAAAATAATCTGTTATAAGGGTGAAAGTATTATTATTAAAATCAGTTTTAAAGGATGACAGATACCTGGGTAAATGTTTGTAACCCTTATGTAACAAATAAATTGTTTCAAATACTTCTCAGTAAAATAAAAACTAAGGAAGTAGAGGCTACGAACTGACTAGAGCTTACGGAATGAAATGCATCAAGTCTGTATTCCTCCAGTTTCACCTTTGTTCAGCTGCATTCCTATAGCATGCCTGTTGCCCTCTAACTGGACCAAGAGTTTCCTCATACCATGCCCGTCAGCTCCCGTCAGCTGTCCCAAACCCATGGCCAGTAGCCAGGCATAATGGGATTTGTAGTGGAACATGTCTTGAGGAAGACTGTGCCCGGTCAGAGGTCACCGGACTGCAGCTGTACCAGAGTGAAACCGGGGACCCCGCATGCGCACAGACCATCTGATGTCCAGTGCTTTCCATTTGCTGCCATTGGTCCAGCATCTGCTTCCTTATTTCATTAAGGCGTTTTTTGCAAATAGTATCTCCCTAGGGGTTCCAGATATTTGCACTTGGAACTATCTACATATTTCTTGCCCAAATATTTGTTGTCCTTTTTACTGGGATATTACTGATGCAGCTTTTCGGTTGCTTTCTCCTGCCATAAGGCACATTTGGCAGGAAAACAAACTAGCTGCAGCTCCATCTCTGCTTCTCCTGGCTTAAGTTTACAGGCTATGTCAGCTTTAGCTACAGCCTTGATGATGGAAGCTGCTGGTTCCACCATCACCAGGGCTGTGCATCTGTTCTGGCTTTCACTCCTAACTTTTAAGAAGCTATCCATCATGTCAGACCTATTTGAGGAACAAGGTTCAGGACCATGGAGAGCTCCTTAAAAAGACAGCCTCTACAGTCCTGCTGTGCTCCACTGGATTTGGGTCAGATTGCAAAGAACTCTCCAGGCAAAAGAGGTGCTTGGCTAGTTGAGGCATTAACTGTTTAAGGCTCTTCCAAGTCACAGTGGTGATAAAGTTTAGCTGTCTTGCTGATTTAACACAAAATGATGTCTTTCCACATAGGAATGGCCTTGGCCCAGTAAAAGAAGGAGAAGCCCAGTATGCTGTGGTCCACTGCACTGGTTATATCAAGGCCTGGCCTCCAGCAGGTAAGACAGACTAGGAGTAATTTTAAATTGCCTGCATGAATATCTGTGGTTTGGTCTGCCTTAATGAAATGAGCTTCGCCCTTGTAGGCCTGACTGAAAAGAATAGGAGCTACACAGAGGCATAGCTGTGCCCTGAAGCTTGAAATATACCTTTAGGCCAGAAATTTCAGGAAATTGGAACTGAATGGCAATACCCTGTGCACATACCAGCTGGTAAGGACTTTATTAGTTTAGAATGAGGAGAGAGGAACTACACTTCTGAATGTAAAAGAAATGCTTCCAACAACATCTTCCTGGTATGGTAGCTTTTCTGCATGTGGAGATGGTTTTTGTACGTGTATGTATCAGGAAAATTTCACTATCTGAAGGGACTTCTGAGCATCATACTTGGCCCCTGAGTTTGGGGTTTACCATCCCTGCATTAGTCATTATGCAGGGAAAGCACATGGCTAGTCACACGGTGGCTGGGAGTAGTCATTCTTCGTGTGCCTCGGACTCGCTTCTGGAGCAGGAGCCATTCGTCTCCGAGGGCAAGCCAGTTCTGAAACTGAGTGGCTTCAGAAAGCAGCCTGCGGTAGCTGTAAGGGCTGGAGCCATGCTCAGGGGAAACTTGGCTTGCAAGCCCTCTGTTCCATTCCTCACTCCTGCTACCTTCACTCATCCAGGAGTCACCCATTCCTGCTTGGGAAATGGCATTTCGTTTCTTGATCTGTTCTACCGTACTAAGAAAATCCACTCCAGTAACTCCGTATCACAAATGGGGATATTTACATTTGGGAAAAGTGGAAAAACACTACAGGAGACTGCAGAGGAGATTCCATCCAAAATTGTTAAGGGGTGGTTTGGCTGACCTTACCAGTTGGATGAGCTGCAGAATTTCTCTTTTCTGTGACAGCCTCTGCTGATGTGAATCAGAACAAGAGTAAAAGCTGCCCATTTTTGTTGTCTGAGCATCAATATACCGCATATATAAACTGTTGTGGTGATCTGTTATTTTATCCCTCCGGGGAGAAAACACTAGGAGCCCCAGGGCAGGAAAACTTTTAGATCATGTTAGTCTAGGGCTCTCCATCTTTGGAATGGATTCCTCATGTGACTTCTTTCCCAGTTCTGCAGATAGTTTGGTGGATCTAGTTCATGTATTTTTCAGGCATGCACAGATGGGGCACAAAGCACATTTCTCCTTCTGGCATTGCAGAAGCTCCCTTAAAACAACATTAGCCTAATTCCTACCACATGGAAGTTCTGCCTGCTTCAACAACAGAAAGTGTAGTGGCTGGTGTGCATGGAGGGATTCTTCCTTTCAGGCATTAACCGGCAGGGGCAAGCCTGTAGGATCGTTGCAAGCAAACTGGAAGTGTTTCCATTGCATTTTAAAAGAAACAGCCATCAAAGTAATTGAAATGTAGGGTGTCCCTCAATATCAGGTCAGGCTCTTGCTACAGCCCATCCAGAGTTGCCTTGCTCTGACTGACTGCCGCTCTCCACAGGATCAGGCAAGGATTGACTGGGATTTTCTGGGTGCCGAGTGTGTGCGGCGCCGATGTGCCCTGGTGCCCTTCCAGTGCTTGTCCTTGAACCGTACCTGCAGCATCTGCTTCCAGCAAGCAGTTCTGCCAGGAACGTGTGGTCATCTTTGCAAAGCTGGATTTCATCCAGGAGCAGTGCAGCTTGCAATGACCTCATTGGCAGGTTTGTTGTCTTCCATGCTCTGCACATGAGCCTCCCAAAGCCCTTTGCTGGCCACTGTTGGAAACAGGATGCAGGAGTGGAGAGACCTTGTACTGGCGTACAGGAAATGCTCTTATCCATTGAGTTTTTGTACTCGTTGAACACCCATGAGGTACAAACCTCATCAAAATGATAAGAGGTATTGCAGATACTGTACATGTTGAAATGCAAGAAATAGCCAGTTTCAGCAGCTATCAGCAGCTTTGCTGGTCCTTGCAGAATCAAAGCCCTGCTGAACCCAGGAATAATGTGAGAACTTAATATGGTGCAGGCAGGTGAAATTAGGTTTCTGGAAAGTGAGCCAGTGAAATACATCTGGTCAAAACAAACAAGAAGAAATCTGAACAAGAGTTAAAGCTACAGAATCAGCCAGCTAGGGATCTCTTGACAGTGGCCACTGGCCATCCTATCCACAGCTAGTGGGAGATTGCTGTCCAGCCAGGTGGAAGTTCTGCTTGTTTATCAGAAGGACCCTCCCATTCAAGGCCTGGCAACGCTCTTCTGAGAGAGAGTGCTGAACTTTCTTTAATGTTATCAGGCAGTTGTGTGTAGCAGTTTAGCAGGAAACACAAAAAATCTTAAGGAATGATATGCCAAACCTTGATCATTTTTCTGTGTCAGTTTTCTCTCCTTAAACTAGTAATAGGCAACCTGGAAGACTACAACTTCCATAGTTCTTTACTGTTGGGCATGCTGGCAGGAGGAAGGCTGGGGATGATAGGAGCTGTAATTTAAAACATCTGAAGGACACCAATAGGCTACCTCTGTGCTAAACTGTTTTGCTAGCAGCACAGAATTGGACTACCAGAAACCTTACAGGAAGGAACAACTAATTTAGGAAATATACGGCATTTTACCTGGCCAAGAGCCTTATACGTGCCCCCTTTCTGTAGGAATTTCATTGGGGCCTAATTCTGTTTTTTCCTGGGAAAGCAGTCTGGGCCTTTGTGACATCAGCTGCCTTCTCATCAGGTCCCATCTTCTCGACCTATTTGCATGCATATCTGCTAACAGGGCTCCATGGCTAACAGGCCCATGGGGGTTGGGGCAGGATATAGGAACCATCAGCAGAGCTATTCCCCCATGCACAAACGCCGTTTACTAGAACTTTTGCTAGGAAGGGTGCGATTTTAGGTATGCTTAAAGAGAGAAAAAATGGCTAGCTGGAGAATGCTGGGAGATGTTGGAGGGTTTTTTCCTGTTTAAACAGGCCTAGAGTTGCAGCCTAAATGAGTAACACATAAGCTGGACATGAACGGAATGATCTTCCTGCGGTCTGATGTATCCCAGCCATTTCCATTCCCTCTGGTGAGGGTAGCTTCTAGGTCAGAAGGAAGAATTTCCAGAAAGGCTGTTTGTTTTGGCACACACGGTAGCAGCATGCCTGGCTCAGTATATGCAGATGAGTCTCTTCCTAATGTGACGTTGCACACAGTGTAGCTTCCTGTCTAATAGGCTGAACTTTGCACGTTTCTACTTTGCCTTTTGCCTTGGTCTGTACCCAGCACAATCCTACTGCTTCTTGATTCTGCAGAGCGTGGTGCTAGAGACCGCAGTAACGCGGTAACTTTTAGCCGGGGTGACACGTGTGAATGCTCAAGGTATAAAAAATCACATTGAGTGCAGAGGAAATTGGATTTGCCGGCATTCTTCTGCCATGTAGTGGAATTACAGCTCTTGAGATCAGGTCCAGGGGACAGCAAACCAGCCAGCTTTCATTTGCCTTGAGGGAGCCATCCGCACAACTGGCTTTGGGTGCCGAGGCCAAGAGCATGAAAGCAGGCCACACTGCGGCCCTGCAGCCTTACTTTCCCTGGATTAACACCAGAAATGTGAGGAATTCAAAACATCCCCCTCATATCTGAAGGGCTTGCTTCTAACTGCTACTGTTACTGTGAGCAAAGCATGTACCGCATTGTCGGAAGAAGAACAAGATCTTTTTGTGTGCTTTGCAATCTGGCTTGATGCTTCCTAAGACCTAGTATGAGGCCAAAGCCAAGCGAAGGGACCACAGCCCAGTGGCGGAGCACATGTTTTTCATGCAGTACATCCCAGACTCATCTCCCATTTTTAAAAAAGGACCTGGTACTACCTAAACTTCTATAAGCCAATTTCTTCTGATACTGAGAAACTGCACTTACAAAATACGTCGTGTGCACTTGTGTGTCCTTTTAATTTTTTCCCCTGCCTTTTTCTTGCAAAGGGATCCAGCGCAGTTGATCCTTTCCACTCCAACAAGCCTGTGAGGTAGGATAGGTTGCAAGCCCATGACTGGCCAGAGCCACTCAGCGAGCATCACGGCTGAATGGGGATTCGGACCCTGGTCTCCCAAGTCCCAGTGGAGCACTCTAACCACAGTGCTACGCTTCCTTTTTGTCTTCAGACCTTTCTTTGGGAGGATGATTACTGCCAGTGGCCCTGTTTCCAGGCTTAGATGGTGGTCCCTCCATAGCAGTCAGCAGGTACCCCATGGAAACCACAGAAATAACCGCCGGACCTTCTGCCTGGCTGTTCTTGGGCTTGGCTTGGCCTCTGTCCATGACATACTTGTCATGTATGCAGTCATTTCCACTGCAAAGCTTATCCCAACTTGTGTCCATATTAGATCACGAACTTCAGGGATGGGTGTGTGTGTGTGTGTGTATGTGGGGGGGGGGTGCTATTTCTTCACATGAAAAGTTGCATGTTTTCCCCAAAATGCATTCTTCTTCCATTGGCTGAAGCATTTCAGCTGCAAACTAAGCCTTCACGACTGAGGCTCTCTGGAAGCCAGATCTGGAGAAACCAGTTTGGGGAAAGCAAGATCAGGCGCCCATGGTGTTGACCCTTCAGAAACTTAACCTTCTTCTATCTTTGTTGCTGCATAGTAGAAAGAAAAAGAAAATATCCAGCCCAACATTCCTCAAAGTCCTGCACTATTTATTTATATAGTACCAAGCAGATGTCTCAAAAACGAATAAAACCAGAGGTCTTTGCCTCGGAGCCCTCTTGCTCACACACACAGCCGTTCCACGGACAACAACTGCCCATGACAGTTTCAGTAAACAAAGAAAACTCCACTCCCCCAGCAAACGGCACTGAGCACCAAGGAGGGGCGGCATTGTGTTTCTGCTGAATCTGCCTTCTTCTTGAGGTCAGAGTTGCAAGGGTGCTTGCCCATCGTGAGCAAACAATGACCTAATTGCTCAGACTTTCATCTCTTTTGGTCTGGAGGTCGTTATGAAAGAGAGGAATTGTTTCCTTGCCTTCGGTCCATTTGGAGGAAAGGT